GCCAAATCGCGACTCGCGGTTCCTCCTCTAAGCTTGGTCCCAGCCCGGCGGTGTCGCCCTGCCGCTCTGCGGAGCGTCGCGTCCCTTTAAATCCGCCTGGCTGACAAGGCACCCGCGATCCTTCTGGAAGAGCGCTGTGGATCTCTCTTTCCTCGTCCAGTCACCATGGTTGCATCGCAAGTGCTCCATTCCACTTGACTAACGACAGATATTTGGCGGTCTTATTAAAGAACGGAGGTTTCCTCGTCGCTGTGGTTCAGTTATGGGATGCTGTAATTGTAGGAAAATTATTTGGTTCTTAGTGCAGCTTTCACCTGTGGAAGTCTCCGCCCTCCAAAATATTTGTTGTTGTTCATAAATGTGCGTACTGTACAGAATACAGGTGCAGGGAGGGAGTCACTGACATGTTTCACTTTACCCGTTAGAGAAGGGTTGAGTTTGACTCTGTGAGACCCTGTAGCTGCACAAGAGACTCGTGGAATGCTATCGCAAATGATAATGTGGGGACTCTGGGATAAGGCGTAATGGTTTCGATTTAGCCGAGACATTAAATAGGATTCTTTACCAATTTTCTTATTGTAGCTTGGTATGTGCCATGTCTAGCTTCACTTGAGACCCTCCAAGAATTATGTAGGAAGGAAAATCTCAGATGTAAATCCATTGGAATCACCAACAGGAATCTAAAGAGTTATGAGGTGGAATATTTGTGTGACTACAAGGTAGAAGAGGTAAGAGAAACACAGACCGATTTGATCACTCTTTCAGCTGAAATTTGGAAGCGAGCCAAAGGTAGTTTTGCTCGTGATATAAAGTAGTAGGCTGTGAGGACAGAGCTCTTGCTGACGTCAAATGAAACATCTTTTAAACTTTGAACTGTAAACAGAAAGCGGTACAACTACTGCTTTCAGTATGTTGAAGGAAGGCCTTTTTCTGAAATTACGGAGATGTTAGAATATGAAATGTTCCGCCTTTGCCTATCTAGAAGTTAAGCAAAATGCTGATGCTTCTAGGTTGTAGCTTGGTATGTATCACGATGCTTCTCCTTTATTTGCAGGTAACAGACTATATTTCTCTCTTGACTGTTGTAGTCTGTTTGATGAAGAGTTAGGGCCATGTGCTGCAACTGGATTCCTATGGCTTGATCGTGCCAGTGAAATTCAGTCTCAGGATTTGGCCTTGTTAGAGTTATTTGGCCCTTTTAAAATAAGTAAAAAATGTATGCTTCTTGATTCTAAATGCAATATTGCATGTTTTGAATGGATTACTCCTTTGGGAGGATCGTTGATAAGACAAATAGTGGTTTTTAGAGATTTTTTCCAGTAAGATTAGAATTATTTTTTTTTTGTTCTGTATGTGATACATGACATTCTGCTTGTACGTACGAGTCATGCAACTAGTTAGTATAACTTAACGGCCTTAACAAACTAGCCTCCTCCAGGTATAACGTTAGCGATCAGAGTTCATCCCAGCTGTTTATTTCTCTGCGCCTAGAGATGATATGTAAAGTATCCAAAGTTGTGCTAAACATTAATCTCCAAACAGAAAACTTGATTTTTCTCTTTCTCCCCAATTGTAATTGTTACGGGGACATCAAGACCTTCTGCACTGTATGCCGTTTCTTAACTCCAGAGCTCTTTTGTGTTTGTCTGTGTACTCTGTGATGCTGGATTTCAGCAAAGTGGAATGTGGCTAAATCTGTATCTGTTTCTGTATTTCAAGGGCACAGAATACTATCTTGTGAAATGGAAAGGATGGCCAGAATCTTCAAATACTTGGGAACCTCAGAAAAATCTGAAATGCCCATTGCTTCTTCAAAACTTTCTTAGTGACAAGAATGAATACTTGTCTCGGGTGAGAGAAGGCAAAGCACTGAAAGTGAGAAACCATGTTAAAGCTTTGAAACCTGCGGTTGCAGATTACATTGTAAAGAAGGCTAAGCAAAGAATAGCTCTGCAGAGGTGGAAAGAAGAACTCAACAGGAAAAAGAATCATAAAGCAATGATTCTGGTAGAAAACACTGTGGATCTTGAAGGCCCTCCTTTAGACTTCTACTACATTAATGAGTATAAACCTGCTCCGGGAATAAATGTAATAAATGGAATAACGACTGGCTGTGAATGCGCTGACTGCCCTGCTGAGAAGTGCTGTCCAAAGGAGGCTGGATTTATTTTGGCTTACAATAAACGAAAGAAGTTGAAAATCCAGCCCGGCTTGCCCATCTACGAATGCAATTCGTTTTGTAGGTGTGGGCCTGACTGCCCTAATAGGATAGTGCAGAAAGGTACACCGTATTCTCTTTGCATCTTCAGAACTAACAATGGCCGTGGCTGGGGAGTAAAAACCCTCCAGAAAATTAAAACCAACAGTTTTGTGATGGAGTATGTTGGAGAGGTAGGTATTTATCTCATATGGATGAACTATTTACAATAAAGGAAATGTTGGAGAAAATCTTGATGAGCTTTCTCTCAAGTTTTAACACTCCTTGACTTCTACTGTATGATAGATACGTCTACTTTTGAGTAGAGGAATACGATAAAGAGATGTAAAAATACATTGTCTGGAACAACCTCTATTCCAGAGCAATTGTAAGAGGTTGAATGTAAAGAGAATACTTACCCTGTGTGTCGCTAAACAATTATTTCAGATATGTGCCCTAGTAGTATTTCTAAAGGCAAGTCCTTCTTTTCTTTCATGGCAGTCACATACTTCATTCTTCCCTGATCATCTTTATTATTGTAGTTTTTCCTATTCCTCAGGCAAAGTTGTTACCAAACTCCCCGCCCAGTCTGCCAGTCCCTTTGCTGTTTTGTCTGAACTTTTAAGGTAGTATTTCGGAACATATTTATTACTTTTGATTAACATCAAGAGTAAGACTTATAGTGTGGACACTATCTGTTTACTCGATGTCATACTATTTCAAACAGAACTTTCATGTTATAAAATACAGACCTTGAGTTACTCTTGAGATTTTTGTATTGCCCTGTGTTTATCTGGTTCAACCTCTGCTCTGCTTCAGGGCTCTTCACATCAGTAGCTCTTGGCAGCCTCTCTGATCCAGTCTGTTGTATTTCTGCCACAAATCTGCCTTGCTGCTAAGTTGACTCGAAATAATTCCTTCTGTCCCTTTGTACAAATGTTTATGGTCTTTAGTGTATTTCCTCCATCCTTCCTGCCCCAAATCTTCTAACTTCTCATGTTCGTGCCTTTCTTGTAAACATACAAGAGATCAGGCGTTCAAAATCAAAATATCTTTGTTGAGGGGTTAATGCACGAAGATGATTATGTAATTTTGTTGCTTAAAGGAAAGAGCGTGTATTTACCCTTTTGCCTGAATCTACTTATTCCCTACTGCTGAGTAAGTTCTTAAATCGGATGTCAGAAAGATTTTAGAGGGGTTTTTTTTGTCCAGTTCCACCACATTTCATATCTGTCTTGCTGCCAAATTGTGATTGCTGAGCTGGCACAACGGAATACATTCAACATAACAGGCTGCAGGTGAAGTTGTTTAAGCTGTTGCTTCTGTCAGAAGCGACTGTAGTTCTTCTCTTCCTTTGGGGAGTTGAAGGATTTCTGCCTTGTGCTGACACATGCTAGCCTAATTGCAGAGATTCAGCTTTGTGAAGAATGTATCTGTGTAAGTTGTCATGAACAGGATCTTTATTGCAGTCAAAAACAGCAGGAAGAGATGCTTCGAGGGAGGGAGGAGATGAGTACTGGCTGTAAATACGACTGGGTTGTAAAGACTGATACCTGTTGATCTTTGTCTGTGCAAAGGGAGAAAGTTGAAACTTTATTTTACGTGAAGTAAACAAGGCGTTCTGTGTCTAACGAAAAAATTGTGTGTATAGAAACTTCAAGTAGAAACAGTTGATTGTATCTGTTATCGTCCATACTCTTAATAGCAGGTGCTGATACTTTTTTCCCTGAGACAAGGTAGTGCTGTGCATCAGCTGTAGACAAATGACATCCAGAGAAGCCTCAGTCACTAACTAATTAGTTTAGCTGTATGTAGGTATTCTTTATTCATTAGAGATGGAATGCTATTTCAACATCAAAAAGTGAATGTGGTATTTCTACTAAGTGAAGTGTTTTCTAACTTGGTTGTGATTTTTGTTTTAATTTAGTAATAGTTAATAATATGATGCAGGTTTCTTTTTTCTGTTTTTAGGTGATTACAAGTGAGGAAGCAGAGAGACGAGGCCAGCTCTATGACAACCAGGGAAATACATACTTGTTTGATTTGGACTATGACTCAGACGAGTTTACAGTAGATGCAGCTCGATATGGAAATGTGTCCCACTTTGTGAATCACAGCGTAAGACCTTGTTTTGTGTACTAAGGATTTGGAGAATTATCCTATTTGTGCCAGAAATATCTTTTCCTACTGTAAATATTTTCTTACCATATTCACCGTTTTTCTGGAGCAGTTTGTTTCATGCCAGCACAGTCCAGTCAGTTAGATGACGTAATACGTAGAACAGAACACTTAGCCTTACTCGGCGTAGGACTGCCTACAAAAATCTGGGAATGAGATGCTGCCTGAAGCAGGCATCTGGTGGGACTGGGGTTGTCACTGAATCTGCCATTGTAGACAACCAAAATAGGGTTGGTTTGGGTGTGGTTTTTCCCAAGTAACTAAAAGATCTCACACTTGAGAAGTACTTCATAAAATTAGTGAGGAGTCAAAGACGATAGGAATTGATGCATTATTTTGTAGCAGGGCGGGATGCGGGGTTGTGCTGAATGTCATCCTTCAGACATTGGTAGAGGAAAAAATTGAAAATTCCTGAGCTTTCTTTGGTATTTCTCCCATATATATACCTTTTTCCCTCCTCGTATCAAATCTGAACTTGCCAGAGAACTCAAAAGTAAATTTTAAACATGGCGTTTTTGTAGTGTTTTATTTCCTGTTCAGCTAAAGTACCTAAAGCAAGAAGGCCGACCTGCATCTGGAAAGGAATTGGGTATCATTCCTGAACTAAAAATTACTACTTACTGATGTAATGTTTGTGAGGTATACAGTCAGTGTTTACAAATACAGTAAATTCATGTCTTCAGATTTGTGAGCTGATGGTGTTTGTATTTCATGCGGACTTGCCAGGGAGAGGGATGAAGAAGAGTTTTAGATACAGCTAATTGCTCTTCACTTTCGAAAATGGGAGTGAAGTATTCTCACTCTTCAGAGTAAATTTAAATGTCTAACTTCACTTCTGATTCTTTAACGTGGGATATATTTTACTGATAAAGAGCAAAAAAGCGTGCAGTTTAACAAACTGTTGAAGTCACTACTGACTTCTGACACTTAATCCAGAAAAAACAATAAAAGTGGTTTCTAGTTCCTGCTCAGTGTCCTTGACCCTCCCCCTGCCACCCAGCCCATAGCAGATAATTCAGAAGCCAAGCAGGTTAGCAACTGAAAATAGAAATTTATTCGTAGTATGAAAATATTTCTGGCCTGGAAGCAATGCTTAAACCTAAATACTGAATAGTGAGTGCGTGTGGCTTGAAATGTTATGTTGGTTTTTCTTTTCTTTCAACTTTAATTCTTTTTGTGGGTTTTGTAGGTAAATACTAACCTCCCAAGGTAGCTTCAGTTGCTTTGTTTGTCATCTTTTTTGTTGTCATCTTTTGAAGGAACCGTGTTTTTTTTTAATAGGCTGTTGCATGTAGTGTAGTCTATGTACTGTGTAATGGTTGCTGCCTCGAAAGGACTCCGCTGTAAGCTATGAGTGTTCTCCCTTAACACTATTTCAAGAATGTGATTTGTTATCTTCTGAAATCAATTTCAGACTTCTGTCACTGAGAGAAGAACCAGTTCTTCCTTTCCTGTGACCTTGGTTTACTTAAACGCTTCAGTGAAACTTTGTTGTGCAGTTTTCTTAACAGAAACTACGTTAATTTTTGCCTTACAGTGTGATCCAAATCTTCAAGTCTTCAATGTGTTTATTGATAACCTCGACTTGCGTCTTCCTCGAATAGCGCTGTTTTCTACACGAACCATCAAGGCTGGAGAAGAGCTAACCTTTGACTATCAGATGAAAGGTCTGCAGGTTTTAACGCTGTTCTCGCAGAAGGTTTGGGGCACTGGTGGGTTCTGCTGCAGCCTGACTGCTGTTAGCATTTCGGGTCAGGCACTGCATCTCCCTAACACAGCTCGGTGGATTGTAGAACAGACGGCGCTCATCAGCGTGTAGCGCAGGCAGAGCGTACCCAGAAGCTCTTGTGGGCACCTCTAGTACGTTACCTCCGTCAGCGCTCCTAGCTCACAGCAAGGGGTTGTGGTTGGAATGTCTGACGAGGCAAATTATTTTGAAGATTTGTCCCAGGAATGCTCAAAGGAACAGTCAGGCTACTATTAAAAAAAGTTTTCCTTTATTCAAAGGCATTTACATGGCATTTCATGTAAACTACTTTCTAAGTAATCTGCTAGTGATAGTTTACGCAGACAGTTGTAACAGCTGAGTGGTCTAAGGCACCGCAGGTTTGTCTCTGGATTCTGGTGTCTGTAGGCCTCAGTTGTGGATGGAGGTCCTATGGGACAGATGTTTAGGACAGAAGAAGGACAGTCCAAAGTTTACTGTTGTTTTGCTGGGCCGGATACATTGATCATTATGCAGAGACTTCAGGAAACAAAATTCTTGGTGAAATACTATTGGCTTTTTGATAATTAAGAAAGAAATTTTTACAGTGAGAACCATCATTCACTGGAACAACCTCTCCAGGAACGTGGTAGAGTCCCAGTCACTGGAGGTTTTCAAGATGCGATGGACAGGGTGCTAGATAATCTCATCTAGGCTCCCTTTCCCATGAATGATTGTGCCAGATGATCCCTGGAGGTCCCTTCCAACTTGGGCTGTTCGATGATTCTTCAATAATTGATCTTCCATTCAGTGTTCGAGGCCAGGTTGGATGGGGCTCTGAGCAACCTGATCTAGTGGAAGGTATCCCTGCCCACGGCAGGGGGTTGGACCAGATGGTCTTTAAAGGTCCCTTCCAACCCAGGCCGTTCTATGACTTCATTTTTTTCCAGTACAATAAAAAAATTTTGAGGTTCGCTGGCAGGGGTGTTGTGTGCGTCAAACTTTGCATGCAAACCGTTTATTGCCAACAGTGGCGTGGTGTTGGCCCTGCTATTTAGTTTTCAGAGAAGCATCTCTGTCCTCCAGAGCTGTACCTCGTTCTTGTAGAAGCTCTCATTAAGTGCTGAAAAATTGATCTTATTTAAATCCTTAAAACTCCTGTTTCTTGTGGTGTCTGCAACACTTAACGTTCAAGGCCAACCAGTGTGGATACAGACCTGAGGGTACAAAGCTCGAGTTTGTTGAGCTTTGGATTCTGATACGTATACTAGGTCTTGTGTAAGTAGTTGTAACGTGTGTGTCAGGGGAATTTGAGTATCGCTTCGCAATTCTTTTAAGAACTGGGGTGGTAGAAGGCTTTTTGAAGCCGTTTGAATACCTAGCACAGTTTCAGTCTGTCTTTTAAAACTTCCTTATTTGTGTTTATCTGTGTCACAGGTTCAATAGATCTGACTTCAGACTCTGCTGATGGTCTTAGCCCATCCAGAAAGAGGATCAGAACTGTCTGTAAATGCGGAGCTGTGTGTTGCAGAGGTTATCTCAACTGAGTTCGGGTATCCAAAGTCACAATTACTTTGTTCTCTTTTAAATGTGTTTTAAGAAGACTCTTCTTTCACACATATTCAAGTATTCTTGCATCTAATGTAAATAAGTACAGTGGAACCAAGGCATTACATTTGTAATGGAAATGGCATTGGCCAAAGAAAGAGATGTAGTGTTTCAGGCAAAGACAAAACTGGTAACGGGGATTAAAAATTGGTTTTTCTAGCACTGTTATTTAGGAAGCAGTAAAATGTATGCTAAGAAAACTCCTTAAAATGTACCTTGATTTGAATATTCGAGTGTGAGCTTACAGCCATAGGCCTTTTAGGAACTGATTTCTGTGGGATGAAGTGATGTTACATATGTTCTGTACCTTCAGAAGTCTGGAGGCATTAGATTTGAATCCTAAATCCTAGCTGACGGTTCTTTTGCTTTTTTGTTGTATAAAGAAAAACTTCAAGAGATTAGCAATAACATTTATGGCACCGGGGTGAAGGATTAAGGACAGCCATCAGACTGTGTCTACACGAAGGTTCACAGGAATGCAAACTGCAAAATGCCCACTGAACTCCACACAAGTAAAGCGATTGGTTTTAGCAGATTCCAGATGTAAGATCAAGGTCTGAACGTTCTCAGCTGATGTTATTTAGAAGTTTTACAACTAGATTTTTTTTTTTTCCCCCCAATTGTTATGTTCTGATTTTTTCGTTAGGATGCTACAGGAGGTCTGGAGTTCTACAGAGAATTTGTAAATACCGGATTAGCGGTAGTAACAGATGCTGTTCGTTTTCATTGCAGAAATTTGGCAGTCATTGCTGAAACAAATTATTGGCTACAGTTTGGAAATATCAAAAGAACAGGGAGAGCAGCCCATTGTCTAACAAAGCTGATGCATTACGGAGATATGCTCAGTTATCTGTTAGGTGCAAAAATACCCTGAGAATTGATTTGTATTCACAACTGTTTTTGATTCAGTTTTTACATACTGTGACTTTTTTTATCTAGTGACAGACTTTTAAGATACTAGACCTGTTTTTTCTTGTTGCAAAAATGTTAACTTCAGTGAAGTTAGACTAGGGGTGAGTTTACCCATTTGCTGTAGACATTTGTAAGATGTTCTTGAATGTAAAGGCTGAGAAATGTACTGTTCTTCAGCTGCTTGAGTCTTTTTTTTTTTTTTTTTTTTTTTTTTTTTTTTTCTTTCCTGATCATCTTAAAGTTGTCTCGATCTATTCGTGATGTATGCTAAGTTCTACTTGGCTTCAAAAACACTGAAGAGCAGTCGAGGTAGGTTATGAGTGGAGTTACAGCCAAGGTCCGTGCTCCAGGGATGATCTAAGTGCTTTATTCTCATGGATTAAAAGCTTGTAAAACTTGCATATTGCTTACAAATCATGTAAATGTTGATAGGGTCAGGCAGAATAACGTTGCTCCATAAATGGATGCTTCATAAATGGATGCTAGCTATGTATCATAGGTCAGCTGGTTACCTTTATAAGGTGCACAGCTCTTGGCTCAGGTGAATGAAGTCGTGTACCCAGCATATAACCGTTTACTAAATTTGTTAGAAAATGCCTTAAATTTCACGTTACTTAACTAGCACTCCAAGAAGAGTGTTTCAAAGGATAACACAGGTTGGTTGTTCATTAAGAAGCACAGTTGCATTTGCACTGCGGATCTGGCTCATGGGCAGAAAGTGAAATTTTATATGCTACTAGCCAAAATCAGTTTCACAGTTGGGGTGACGAGTTTGGGCCATTGAAAGTGCTGTGTAAGTTTTGTAATCTGCAATACAAAGAGATACACGTTGAAATAGATACTTTATATTGTTTAAGGAATAGGAGAAAGTTTGCTTAGATTTAAAAGTCTTTGACATTACCAGGCTCACCTGTATCCACACACTTGGATAAATGCCGAATCTAGTCAATTTTTATCATGCCACATCTCTAATGATTTTTTTTTAATATATAAAGTTGAAGTGGAATGTGGAGCTTTAATGTTAGCAAACTCTAGATGATCTCACATCATTTGGAGTCATTAGTGCTTTCTCTTGCATGTAGCCCGATTCAGCGATGCATTCCACGTGGATGGAATCTGCAGCCTCCAGCTCCTTAATCCGCTGCAGTCTGCAGCCTTCCCTGTCGGTACAGGATGGCGAGAGCGGCTGCGGCAAGAAACGGATTCCTTACCAAATCGGTGTCTCTGGCCTCTCCTGTACAAGATGACACAGGGCTGGTTCGACACTCTTTTTGTCTATCTATGTCCACGCCCAGTTCGATTTAAAAATGGCAAGTAAATGCATTTTAAAAGATAGAAGTCTTAGAAGTTGTCCTTGAGTTCGGTGTCTGCCTTTTTCCCAAGGCAGTATACGTTAGCACCAGCACTGGAATAACACTGCTGTTCTTTAAGGATACGTGTGTTACCTCTTGTGCGATAAATAAAGGACCGTTAATTTATGTTCTGGGAGGTAACAGTATTTTGTATTTATTTGAAGTAAACCCATGTATCCAGTTTCCAATTTAGAGCCTTGAACAGTATTTTATATTTCTGCATTCACAGTGCATTTGGATCGCAGTCAGTGAATTAGCTTAATGGGACGCTGTGTCACTTTTAAAACTCCTTTTGCTGTTTTTATGAGTTTGGGGGAAAACTACCAAATTGGAAAAGGACAAAAAGCTATTTTCAATTTCTTAAGGAGCCTCAACCAGCCTAGCTTCTGCCTTTGTTTTGCTTTGTGGTCTGTTAGCGTCATCACGGCCACCAGCTCAGTTGTGTGTATGCAGTTCTTAGAGACTGGTAACCTGTGAGCTGTTCTCTTTTGTTGGATTTTTTTTTTTTTTTTTTGGTAGCAAAACTGAAGCTGCAAGATCACCTGTAAGAAAAGCTATTGTCTAGTTATTTAATCTCAAAGTTAAGTCAATCTTTTGGTTATTTCTAATGTATGTTTTAGGACTGTGTACATTAGAATATGCAGTTTGTAAGCTCAGGAACATTTTCTTTTCATAATGTGTGATCTCTAGTATTGCTATCTTCCTATAGTTTTTGATAAAATAAATTAAATTTAGTTTTTCTCTTGTTGTTGTCATTCTTAACAACAACAAAAAAAATCTTAGCCTGTCAAAATTAGCTGTAGCAGTAGAATTTGCTTTAAACTGCAACCTCTTAATTCCTGTCTGCGTTTTCTAGCGCTGTAAGGACTGTAGTAGAGCGATCATGAGGAAGTCATGTGTTTCCTCTTCAGTTTATGGCTGATAAGAACTGGTATAAATTTACACTGTCGACTTCTCTAAAGCAGACTGGGTTCCTGTATATGTAAGCACACTCTGAACGCAGCCATGGACTTACACGTATAGGACAGTTAAGGAAACAAGCCAACAGAAGAAATTCTGCTCTGTATGACTTTATTCACAGAGGTAGTTACAACAGCAGTTTCACTTACTCAAGCTTGCTAAAAATAACCCAGTTGGATAGACCACGTTTGGAAATTGTGTTAACAAATCCCAGGACCGGAGTGGGCAAGGTGACAGTGGAGAAATACATGGACTTGAACAGCCTTAAAACCATACACTGCTGATGATAGCAATTTTTCTTCTCTCCCCCCGCCGCTGTTTCCAGTAGCAGAACGCTGGCTGGTTTAACGTTCACAGATCGCTAAAGATGGCAGAAAGACTGAAGACAGACTTGGAGAGCAGAGCTGTCGTACCCAGAGTCTGTTTAATTCTTTGGGACTTAAGACCACATGGACAGGAAACGTCATGGATTTTTAGGTGACCTCTGCTGTTCAGGCACCGTTGTAGGCACTGCAGTTTAACAAAAACCTGAATTACCTTTCCATTTTAGAAGCTAAGAATTTTGGCAAAGAAAGAGTTATGCTGGCACATGTGCACGGAGAATCGATTGTCTCAATTTAAAAAAATGTAAAAAGATCTGAACTCAGTGAAGTCAACAGAATGTTGCAGAGGAGGTGAAATTTGGTAATACAGGGGCCTTGAGTAAGATAACCGCCTGTCCTGGGTAACAGGGTAGCTTCTGTTGCTGTGAGTTAGCCCCCAGAGCAGGCTACTGCTGGTGGCTTTGGAACCACGTGCCACAGGATTTTAAGTGGTTCCGAAAAACAGTTCTGAACAAACCGAAACACGGAGGAACGGATGACAGGTTGTTTGCAATGACTTAGATTTAAACCATAGACAGTGGTGCACAGTACCTCGTTCAGGAGTCAAATTCACATGACAACGCTTGCTCAGTGTAAAGAGAGACTGCTTGAAAAGAACAATCCGATTTTTTTTAAAAAAAACTTTTGTCAGTAATTCTCTAGTCTGTTCTGCAGTTGTTTTTAAAAATAACTGCAGTGAAAACTCAGGACTAAAGTCCAAGTGCAACTATTGCATTGTTTGCATGGGCGTTCCTGAAAGATGGCGTGTTCCTCCCCACAGTTAAAAATGTGGTATTTTATTAAAACCTGAGATCGCATATATATCAAAGGCAAACTCTTAGAGCTCATGATCAAGAGAAACACTAAATTTCATTTAGTGTTCTACCCTTAGTTTTGTCTGGTCCCTTTTTTGTCCACTTACTTACAGTCCTGGAGAACTGAACCTCGGGAGGCAGAAGGCTTTTATGGTCCCTCCCAGGCATACTTTTCAGTATTCCATGGAAGGACCAATAAAGTGACACAGGCTGCAAATTTTTTAGTTCTGACAGTAAGATATTTCTGAAAAAAAAAAAATGGCATGAATTAGCATAGCTGCAGATCATAATCAGCACTAAAGAGAAAAGTAATTTGGGGTTTAATAAACAAATTTCTGTATTTCCTTTCATGATGTCGTGATACCTGTCTTCAGGAGACTTTTTTCTCATTGAGTATGCTTTCACCTGCTGCTAGCTTCTTATATAAACAGTACAGTTTATCTGGGCGAGGCACTTCAGCATCGGGAGTCAAGGGAATTTCGAAGTCAGAGGAGCTCTGGGAGTCCCTCCTCAGTTCTCGCTCTGGAGTCCTGGAGTCGTCCCTTATTTCCACTTGCACATCTTGACCGCGAGCGGTGCCAGCTTCTGCATCTGTCTCGCAGTCTTTGCTTTTCAACTCGCAGGCAACACCGTAGGCACAAGATCTG